AATTTATAAAACCATTAAGAATTAGACATGAACACAAAAGTAGAAAAGTTTTAAAATATTGTCAGTAGTGGGTTAAGTGTTATCTACACAAAGCACACAGAAAAGTACAACTAGAAAAAGAATATTAGGATTCTTTGCTCTGAGGTTATCCATATGCAGTTTATTAATGTATTGGTACATACTTGAACATTGGCCAGTAGAACATTATTAACTATATAAGGTATTGTTACAGTTACACCTTATCTCACTGCTCGGCGCAAGCCTCCCCACAATTCTGAGGATTATGTACCTATATCCACTAGTTTTACTTTAGGAATAACTTAAAATATTTGACAGATTTCATGGTGGGGGAAGTGAGTTTGTCAGAAAAGTGTAGAGATTAATGTTTCTATCTTTTTCTCCACTGCTGAGTCACTGAGCATGTGGTAAATGAGAACTTAAAATTGCAATTTAATTACAACTTCATTGGTTTAGGTGGACCTAGAGCCCAGATAGCTAGCATAAAATATCACATATGTCACATCACATAATGAAAAGTTTTATCAGTTTTGACAGCTATCACAAGGGAATGTGCAAAGTTCTTTATTATAGATAACATGATAACCCATTTTGGGTATGGCTAATAATCTTGACAGCTTCAAGGACATCAGAACTAAGTTCATTTTTTAGTTTAATGACTTAGCAGAAGACCAGTCTTGCCTAGTGACTGCCTTATTAGTGTTGTGGTCCAGGGTGCAAATCCAGGACCGGCCAAAAAATCAGTTATTGAGTATTTCTGTTAAGAAATTCTCAGTAGTAGTCCGATATCAGGAAGTGGGCGGTGTTTCACCCCTATGTTTCAGTAAGTACCTAAAGCCATCGCCATGCACCTGATCCTTTTCTGGTCTAGTCGGTTTGCCGCCCCATCCTGCTGACTGTGAGAGTGAGGGTATAGAGAGTGTATTTGGGTTTACGCATACACTTGGGCACTATAATCCTGTCCTGAGCAGGTGGTGAGTCTCCATTAATACAGGCTGAAACGGACGACATTATTATAGACTAGTCTAGTAACAAATCTATAAGGTATTAGCATACGTCCATCTCATATTCATAACAATCATGAATTGACATAAAAATGGTATAGAGAGAAAATGAAATGTTTTACCTTATAATTGATTTAAATAAAGGAAAACAACACCAATTTCTGGAGCATCCATTCAAACATTATATTGCAACAGTTAAGTGCAAGATGTAGTAACTTTTCTACAATTGCTACCACTTGTGGTAAAATTAAAAATGTTGTACAACTCACTTCAATATAAATAAAATGATAACATCATCAATGTAGTTGAAGTCAATTAAATATGCATTATTAAGGATAAGTCAAAAACTACTGGTCAGATCTTGATCAAATTTATATCAAAATCATTCACCTGGAAAAAAATTCTGATGTAACACATTAAAAAAGAAAGTTGAATTGAGTGCATCCTCCTTTTTTTGAAGTCTGTTAAAATGATGTCGAAATCTCTCTTGGTTAAAAGTTGATAGAATAGAATAGAATAGAATAATTTTTATTCAATATACATTATATGTGTAATTCTTATTGAAAGTCATTTTTTACTTTACCACTGGTTCGAAAAAAAAAAAACCCTCTGTCCTGGGAAGAACCAGCAAGAAACCCAGCGGGACTTTTTTTAAAAATAAATTTTACAATATAAATGATTACGAACTATTTACAAAATTTATTTTAGAAACTGCTTGGAAGTGACCACCTCATTCCCAGGGGTTATTATCAGCCATGTATTCTTTTATACTATAATAACACTTTTTATACAGTTTCAGCTTAATAAAACATTTAAACTTGGTAATAGAGAAAACCTGTACACTGTACACTTTCCGGGACCTTGTTGTAATAGCGTATACATTGCCCCAAGAATGAATTACTGACTCTGTGGAGTCGAGAAACTGGCATCACTAGCTTGTGTTTGTTCCTAGTGTTTATAGAATGTATATCACTTTTTTTACTAAAACTATCTTTGTTTTTGTGAACATACATTAAATTTTCGTAAATAATTAAACGTAGATAATTCGTAGATAATTCTTTCAAAATTGAATAAAACCTATTGCACACATATTAAATTCATATTTTTACTGAAGCAAGCGCTAAAGACTGCAAAGGTCACTCTATATGGAAGTTTATAAACTAAATTAGTGATATATTGAAGATTAGCCAAATAAGAGTACCCTCAAGCGACAAGCATGTATGCATAAGTATATGGATGTGATAAGACAGGTATGTCAGGATTGTGCCAAATGGAAATTCATAGTCTCTGCTTACCCCTCTGGGTAACAGGTTTGAGAGTTTATGTTATGTTAAATTTACATTTAACATTTAATAAAACTAGTTTTTACGAATTTTATTGCAAAAAAAAAATATATTAACTTATTTTATATTCCCCACATATAAAATAAGTTAATATTTTTTTTTGTTATAGGAGAGGGGGCAAACGAGCATGCATCTCACCTGATGGTAAGTGACTACCGCCGCCCATGAACAACTGCAACACCAGGGGAATCGCAGATGCGTTGCCGGCCTTTTAAAAAGGAGTACGCTCTTTTCTTGAAGGTCCCTAAGTCGTATCGGTCCGGAAAAATCGCTGATGGTAATCGATTCCACAAGGAGGTCGTGCGAGGAAGAAAACATCTTCTAAATCGCACAGTGGTGGACCGCCAATCATCCAGATGGTGTGGATAGTATCGGGAGTTCTGCCGCGATGTGCGTTCGTGAAATTTGGCGGCTGGGATTAATCCGAACAAAAAAATAAAATTTGTAAAAACTAGTTTTATTTAAATGTGTAGTGTTCATGTAAATATAAGAAATCATCATATATAATGGTAACCTATTTTTTTTTGTTATAAGAGTTACATAGGACACATGGTCTATGGAGTTTAGGCATCCTGATAAAATCTGCTGCTTTGAAATACCTAATATTATACTTAAGGGCTCCTAATGTGGCCCAAACATAAACAAACTGATAACAATGGAGTGGCAGATTGTCAACACTTTGTTTTTGTCCATCCTGATTTAAGAGGGTAAGTAGGAAAAAAAGTTAATTTGTTTAATTTTTGTGACTTTTAGCCTTACTTTGTCGCTAGAATGTATGAAACAGAGGCGAGTTAAAATTAAAAGTTTAAATGATGGTGCATTTTATTGTTGGTGAATCTTCATTTGGTTTTGTTTTTCAATTAATTTGTAGTCTTTATTGCTTTCAAAATTGGAAAACAACAACTGTAACTCCAGCTAAAGTTGCTCAAGCTGTGTTGTTCCGGAGTCAAGGGCGAACGCAGCGAGAGATTGCTGAATTTTTAATTGTACCACGTACAACCCTTAGATACGCCTTAAAAAGGTACGATCAGACCCGTCTGTACATGAGGAGACCAGCAAGTGTCGGAATCAAGTGTACATCAGTGCAGGATGACCGATCTATCATTCTTGCAATTTTGAGATATCGGTTCCTTACTGAGGTTGAAATAAAGCAGCGTCTGCAAACGGTAAGACAGGTCAACGTTAGTGAGCGGACAATAAGAAGGAGAATGGAGGAATGGGACCTGCATCCTCGAAGACTAGCACGAGGTCCAGAACTGCCGGCATCATCGCCTAGCTTGACTTCGGTTCGCTCGCGAGCATACAAATTGGGCTCATGAGCAGTGGAGTAAAGTTCTGTAGACCGATGAAGGCAAGGTAACCTAAAGAGCTCCAGATGGCCGTGAACGTATATAGAGAAAGCATGGAGAGATTTCTGCCAATCACCACCAGTAATTTGAGGAGGGATCAGTACAGATGCACATACGGTTAGTGGTAGTTGAAGATCATTTAACGGCAGTGTGATACATTGAAGTAATCCTCCAAGATTACGTTTTACCCTATGTGGAATTCATTGGGGGTGAATTCAAGTTATTGAAAGATAATGCCCGACCACACACCGCACGATGCGTTAATATGATTATTTTTCTGAGGTGAGAATTTTTAAATTGGAGTAGCCATCATGAAGCCCACGAATGAATCCCATAGAACATGTATGGGACATGGTTAAACGTCACACCTGATCCAGTCACAGCCCTCCAGAGAATCTCAGTGCACTGAAAACCGCTCTGGTGGTCACCTGAGAAGAAATACCACAAGCAGATAACAAATACATCATCCACAGCATGCCTGATCATATGCAGGTAGTTATCAGGGCCAGAGGTGGAAATACCCACTACTAACATTAGTTACTATTAGCTTTAAATTGTTAAATTCATTAATAAACATTTGTTAAATTTAGTGCATAATGTCCTTTTTTAATTTAATAAAAAAAAATTATAAAGTTACCACAATTTTCGTTTATTAATCATATGCATTTAAGATTTGAATAAACAATAAAGTTTTGCTAAGACAAAACTAACTGTATCACTGTTCATTTTGATAATATCGCTCATAGTGCGTTTGGGCCACATTCCGTGCCGCTAAGTATATTTGGTTCATAATACACAAATTACAATCTGAATTAGGTATTAAATTTAAAAACTGTGCACTCATGTAAAATAAGTAAAAATACTTGTTGGTTACATACTATGATTAAATATCACATCAATAGCTTGCTATAACTTACATTTTAAAGTATCAGAAAGTATGAAGAAAACATAAAAATTTGAAATATAATTTTTTAAATTAGATACTGTTAAATGTTCATTTTGTCTTTGAATATATGATAAGTAAACAAATTTGGACAAGTAGAACATAAAAGAAAAAGTTTAAAATGTAAAGAACAAGTTTAAAAGTTTCTGTTGATAGATTATTTATTAAAAAATCCTGCAAAAAGCCTCCCTATTGAAAATGGTAATTATAGTTCTAATATGTCCAAGTCATAATAAGCATATTAAAAAGTAAATAAAAGGTTAAGTACATATTTACTTTTGAGAATTGGAATAAAATCCAATTAAACTAAAAAATAGCACAATTTAGAATTCTATGTACTCACCATTGGAGCTCTTAAGGTCTCGGTGAATGAGGGATATTGGCGCATCCACATGAAGGTATGCCATACCACGAGCCACTTGAATCGCCCAATCCACCAAGATACCGGGTCTGATCTTCCTTCCTGACAAAACTCTGTTCAGTGGCCCACCGCGGGCATATTCCATCACCAAACACAAATTAGGCTCCTCTAAACAAACACCTTTCAACGACACAATATTCTCATGCTGCAACATCCAAAAAAGTTTCGCTTCTTGCAGTACACTCTCCTTTATCACTTCGATGTCTTCATTCGCGTCCTGGCGAGCAGCTTTAACCGCCACCACCTCGTCGTTCCAATAACCGCGGTACACTTTTCCGAAACCGCCTACGCCGATCACCTCCTCGAGTTTCAATTCGCTGAAAGATACCCGAGGAGGGTCCACATCGCCAATGACCGACGTAACGGCTAGGGGGTCTTCCTCCGTAACGTACACGGCGGGGAATATGCCGACTCGGTCACCGATTTTGCCCGTCCACCAGCCCTCGTCGCCTGAGATGTTGGCGTCTTTGGACAGCACCTCGACGATCTCCCCGCGGCGCAAGGATAGCTCATCCTCACCCTGCGCTATGTAGTCGTAGACAGCGGTAAACAGAGCTAGTGGCGGGCGTTGTTCCTCTGCCGCCATAGCCGCGCGGCCGGCCGCTGGCCGCGGCGGCATCACCCCGGCCGCGCCGCCATCACGCTCCTCCTCGTTCAGGCGCCGCGACACCTCTGCAGCCTCCACCGACCACCGCACATAACTACTGAACGCGTTTGGTTATGATCACCGTATTATTCCGCCATCTTTGTTTTCCACATCGATCATGGCGGTGTTATGGAGAAGCGCAAAACGGCAGCTATTCACTCGGTCGTCAACGCGCGGTCTAATGTCGTTTTCGATGCAAATAAATACGCCTTGGCTTCGCTGTAGTGATGTTAATTATTCTTCATTCATCTATCACGTTAGTCGATAGACGGACGAAATGACAACCATACTACAGCGAAGTCAGTAACAAACTGTCATACGATTTTAGTGTTACTTACTTCATAATTTTGAATTTTTGTTTGATAGAGCTAAATTTATATATATATTTATTTTATTATTTATAACATTTTCATTGAACTGTAATAAACTTGAATCAATTGACAAACAAGCATAAAATAACAAAATACGTTTTTATTTTGTATATTTTGACAACTGGCAATTATGGTTCAATATAATTCCAAGGTTATACTCTAGATGGCACTTAAATACACAATAGATACACTTTGTGCCTTTTTTCCTTTTGGCCTTTGTAAACATTAAAACCGTCATCTAGTGGCGGTATGTATAAATAATAGAATTGAATAATTGTTTATTTGTCCGAATGTTAATGTTAAACATTAAAAGCATTATTATGGTTTAACATATTATTTATTAAAGATAAAGATTATAAAGTAAGTAAATATATCGCTGTAGATAATAACAGGAACATCTTTGATACAAATAGACTTTACGTATGTTTCAATCTAGATGGCGCGTTTGACATTTTGTTGAAAAGTTAATTTTCGTGTTTTCAAGACTGCGTCTCAGCTAATTAATATATTATTTGTAAGATTTAATTTAACAAAGAATGCGTTGCCAACAATTGTCAATGTCACAGATACAGTCAGTACAGTCCCTGTCGGTAAAAGTGCAAACCATTCCAGTCTTCATAAGACAACCGTTTTCCAACATTGGACATAGGTATCACAGTATTTTTAAGAACCACTCCTAGACTTAAGGCATGTAGACGGGCTGGTGGCACATGAGTAAAGACTGGTGGTGGTGGGCTTAGAACCATCACCCTCACACTGGCGTATAGTATACACTGAATAATATCGCATCTCTACCAGTCTATGAAATGTGAGTTCCGTGTTCTGGGTGGCTTTTCCGCCATCAATCAAACACCAGAGGCTATACGTTAAATTAGCAGGGTGCACCTAAGGTGGGGTTGATTCTCAGAGACAAAGTTGACCTATCCGGCCTATCCCGCTTTACGCCAACTGCACTAGATATAAGAACATAATATTAATTTATTTTTAAATAATAAAACATTATTTGGTGAACATTTGCTTAAAAACATCGCTATTTTACAACTAGTGACCCGCCCCGGTTTTGCCTGGATGTATTAATGTGGCGTTTTGTAGATTTAAGATAATTATGAAAGAGCATTATCTTTATATATAAAAATTACGTGTCACGTTGTTTGTCCGCGATAGACTCTTTAACTACTGAACTGATTTCAATGAAATTTTGCACACTGTGTGCAGTTTCGTCCAACTTAAGAGATAGGATAGTTTTTATCCCGATAAGTGACCCTCAATTTTATTATTGCTAATCTCAGGAGTTTTTTTTAAGGAAAGCTAATGGTCGTCGGAAAGGGTAGAACAACGTCTGTCTGGTCAGTTAGTATAATATATAATATAAATTTTTCTATTAAAAAATATCTTTTAGTTTTTTGAGTTTTTCGGATAAAATATAGCCTAGATCACTCCTAGCATTGTCCTATCTGTTCGAAATGTGTAATTACACGGTCGGTTTAGCTATTCTGAAGATTAACTTGGACAAACAGACAGACAACATTTTTAGAAATCGTTATTCATGTTTTATTAGCATCCAAATAATCTCTTCACATCAATATAAGGCATTTATGTCATTATTACAGTATTTTATTTTCATTTTTATAGGTAAGTAATATTTGTAATTCAAAAATAAATAATAAATATTTATAATTTCTTTCATTTCATATAAAATAAATTTGTAAGTTATAATTTCATTACACTGTTTATCGGTCCCATGGTGTAATGGTTAGCACTCTGGACTTTGAATCCAGCGATCCGAGTTCAAATCTCGGTGGGACCTGCAGTTTAGCTGCTTTTTTCATTTTGGCATTTTTTTTATTTCTCATTTAATATCCATTCGAAATTTGTTATTCATTAACAAACCATTTGGTTTTTATTTTGTTAAGTAAAACACTATTAATAAAAAGTTAAAGCATTCCTTGTGGGAGTTTGTAGGGATGCTGGGTAGGGAGCATTATTGATCGCGTTAAAGTAGGATGGCTGTATCCATTCGCGGAGAACATCCAGTCCGCGGACGTAGGGCCGCTTCGCAAATTCAAAAACACGCTTATAAGCCTTCGAAGCTCGCCCTCATCTCCAAATACTTCGGTAAAAAAACATCAATAATGATTAAAATTAATAAACAATCGCAAAAATAAAGTGCAACACCAAGAAACCAGTGAAGATTGTTCGCGGCGTGAAAATGTGCCAGGACATAGTGAAATGAGGATCCCATTGATACGTTTAGTGCCAAGAAAATTATAAGTTAACTAATATGTTCGTTTTAATCAATGCTTAAAGAGTTTCTTAATTATTTTTCTATAGCCAAAACAAAATAATGACCAAACTGTCACCGGTATGATTACACTATGTTTAATTGTGCCAAAATGTTTAAATCAAGTAGGAATATTAAGAGATCCTGTCTGAAATGGTGCTGGAGAAAGCGTTGGCTATATCTCAAGAAATAGTACGTCTTTACTTGTTCAAAACAGGAGAGTTTCAACCAAACAGTGGAATTGAAATTTTGTGTTAAAAAGTGAAGATTTTTTTTAGTAAAAATGAATTCTTTCAACGCTCCCACAACGCAAATTAATGCCATTGATAAAATGACGACTGTGAAATGTAAATCCGTAGATCTTGAGGGATATGTTATCATTGTAGTCCAGACGAAGGATAATAAGATTAAACTCTATGGTAAGTCTTTTTCTTAAGTATGTCCACATTTTAAATTGTGAAAATGGAATTAACCCCCACACTTGTCAGTTTATTTGTTAAAGGTGATTATTATATTTGTACATTTACATTTCTACTGCAATATTTATATTAAATTATAAACAGGTTATACTATTTTTATGTAAGATTGTGTAGGAGGTAATATCTCGAACTCTAATTCTAAATCTAATTCTCAAAATTCTTTCACTGACAGAAAGTTACACTATAACTAAGTAACCGTTCTGCTGAACATAGGCCTACCCCATAGACTGCCTCATAATTTGTCATAGTTGCCACGCTTGGCAAGCGGGTTGGCACCCACAGTTTTTTTTAATTTTAGTTGTTATTAGGAAGCCGCTGCTGCCCATCTCCTGTTTTCTACCGACTTCAAAATAGAGACGGTACTCAATTCGACTGTATGTTATTTCTTTTGTTTCTTTTTTATGTGTGTTACCTCATACATTTTTCTGGGTGAACCGATTTCGTTGATTATGTTTTTATTTGAAAACTGGTGCTTCTCATGGGGTTCCATGTAAATTTTATCAAGGTCTGACCAATAGTTTTTGAGTTATTCTTAATAATTTATAATGAAGTCGGTTGTACAAAATTTTTAATTTTTAATTATGGTTCCCTCTGTCGCCTCATACGTCCACTATCCCATATCACCCACGGGATGATATGGGATAGTGGATAGTCTTACACCGCCACTACACGCTAACACTATGAAGTAAGTTGGATGAAGGATGTTTGTCCTCATGCAATTTATGTTTGTAAACTGCCCACACGATACAGGAGAAAATCTTAGCAAGTAAGTGAATATATTAATTGAGTCAGCAAAATATGAGCCAATCCGCTGCTTCACTGGCTTGCGCTCATCAAACGGCTTGCTATCGATATAAATAAACACAATATAATATTGCATTAATAGTTACCTAGTTATTTTTATAAAATACAAATGAAAAAACATTATAGCGTGTGATTTTTGTTGGTATACCTTTCGGTGCTAATATTTCAAAATAAAAAAAAAACAATTGAAATGACTAAGCTTTAATCGAATTTCACGCGATCAGAGCCGCGCGGGTAAACCAGGACAACACATAATTTTGTGACATCGATCACGACATGAGGAAAAAATTAAAAAAATACTCTATCAGAAAATACGGAACCAGTAATTTTTTTACGCGTCAACGATCCGCCTGAAGGTAAATAGGCACTGCAGACCAAGGACATTTGCAACACTGCTCTACTAGATAGTAGGACTTCACTTCTGCTTAGGATTCCGTATGGGTATCTCTGTGGTAGGTACATACCACCCTGTTACCTATTTCTGCTGCCAAACAGCAGTGCTTGCTGATGTGTTCCGGATTGAAGAGTATAGAGAGTCAGTATAATTACACGATGTGGGGCATTCCGTCTTAGTCCTCAGAGGTGACAACGCATCTGTAGCTTTCTTTGTTTGAAGTTAGCTGCAGGTGTCCACCAACTACAATAGCCACTTACCATCAGGTGGCTTGTAAGATGTAAAATTAAAAATTTTGTACAACCGACTTCAATATGAATTATTGAAGATAACTGAAAAACTATTGGTCAGACCTCGATCAAATTTATACAGGACCACATGAAAAGCACCTGCTTTAAAATAAAGAAAGAGTCATCGAAATCGGTTAAACTGGAAAAAAGTTATGAGGTAACACATAAAAAAAGAACACACAGTCGAATTGACTACCTTCTCCTGTCGGTAGAAGAAGGAAAACAATTTAAACAAAATTTTAAACAAAGAAGGCTTAAGATGTGTTTGTACCCCTTGAACAAGATGAAATGCCTCACTGCCTGTAACTTTAAGGACTTTAAATTTAAGTGATTTTAGTTTAAGTTTCTCACTCACTCGTTTTACGAAATGACAATAGAAAGAGACAGGCACAATGATAATTAATACAAAATTTTTTAGAAAACTGTTAGGATACTGTGGCCCATAGAAATTTAAATCTATCCTCGGTTAACAATCAAAATGCAGATGCGTTGTCACCCCTGGTCTACGGTTTTCTACACGCGCCATACGAAACACAGCAGCATCAAGCTACTATTTTACGCTGGTAATTCTGTGAGAGCGTAGTGCTACCCCGGCTTAGCCGACCCATTCGTGCTACAACCACTATATAGCTGTAGCATGGCTCTACTACGTTTAAATTAAGCTATAATCAACGATTATAAGTAAGGCCGTTACTCATTAAACCGTAATACACATACAGCAAACATGCTGATGCTGATACTAACATGGACGAACACCTAGACAGAAATAAAAGTTTTAATAAATAATAAATATAGACTATAAACAACAAAAGAGAAAAACTATGGACCGATTTTTCAATCATCACTTAAAATTAATACATAGGATAAAATGCAACGTAAACAAATTGAAAATTACAGTTGTATGAATAAAATCGCTCAACTGTTTCACTTTTATGTTCAGTTAAATTACAATTTATTAGATGGATAGCCGTTATCTAACGATCGAAAAATCGAGCCAAGTATAGAAGAGTTAAAATTCAGGTTGTGACATTATTTTCATTGTTTTTAGTTGTTTGAAATCGGCTTTTGCTTTTTATTAAAAGTTATTATTTACCCTCATAAGCTTATTAAGGAATAACACAACTTCAATGTCTTTTAAATAGTTCTATTAAAAAGTTCATTTTTCAGTTTACCATCCCTACGGATAGAATATTTTCTTCAAAAATAATATTATTAAAGTACATTCAAAGTATAATTAATTTAATAAAAAAAGAACAATCGAAATCGGTTAACAATTGACGAAGATATCGATTAGCATACATACAAAAAACATTCAGTCACAACAATATTTGTGTGATTTTTTTTTCAGTATTACGTTATTAATGATATATTAAAAAAATAAGATAAAGCCGATGTATCATATTTACCGTGTAATGGCGGTATATGAATGTTCACTACTCTACTACTAAGAGGCGACAGAGGGAAACTGAAACATAAGATGGCCAGCAGCATCTTCCTAATAACAATTAAAAAAACTACGTTTGCCAACCCGCCTGCATAGCGTGGCAACTATGGCAAATATCTCCCGAATAAAGTAATCTATGGGGAAGCCTATGGTAACGGATATAAGTATCGTATATCTAAGTAGTTGTAATATTTTTAAAGCTTAGTTTGTGGATGAATCGTTATATTTTTACGGGAAAGGCAAATCAAGTAAACAATAACATCATTACAAATTAATTCCGTTCAAATAAAAACAAAACACATTCGCTAACACAATTGATGAACACTGGCGATGTTCATATGTCATATTATATTTCATTTTTTTAATTGGTTATTTTTATCTCTTTAAAGAAAGACACCCAAAGAAATTATTTAATTTCGTTGTCAAGCAAGCCCTTTTAAGTTTGTTTTGTTCATAATATGTTATTTGCCACGCTGCAGCTATATTATGGTTGTAGCATGAATGTGTCGGCTCGACCGGGATAGGACCACGCTCTCAGAATAACAGAGTAAAATAGAATTTGAATGCTGCTGTGTTTCGTTTGGTGAGTGTAGAAAACCGGACATCTTGGATCTATTCTATATTGGTCCTTAAAACTGATTTTTACTGATTTGATTCTTATTTGAGGATAGATGAGATGTCTATGGGCCACAGCTTTCACTTACCATCAGGTGGGCTGAGCGCACGTTTGTCACCGTTATTTTGTAAAGAAATGTGTTACAGCATTATAACTTCTTGGATTTTGTTTAATAAAACTTTAGCACATTTTACATTACAAATGTTATGTGTTCTATATGTTAACATTTTTTATAGAATAAGGGTGACAAACGAGCACACAGTCCACCTGATGGTAAGTGGATGCTGTGACCCACAGACATTTGCATTTATCATCGAATACGCATACCCATACCCATAAACATCTACATCTGTCCTCAATAAAGACTCAAAATGCAGATGCTTTGTCACCCGTGAGGACTAAGATGGAATGCATCGTTTCCAGTAAAAAGGGTCTCCGGTTTTTTACACTCACCGTACGAAACGCAGCAGCGTTAAGCTGCTATTTTACGCTGGTATTCTTTGAGAACGAGGTACTTCTCCGGTCGAGACGACCCATTCGTGCTATAACCATAAAATAGTACCACGTATAAAATGCAAATTCAACAATTCTTATTCGATGGGGCGGTATCATTATTTAGGTTTCTTTACAATAATTACGAGGTTCCATTTATCACTTTTAGAAATCAAGATTAGATTAAGAAATATTTAGTTTTAAAGTAGATTGCAATTTGTAATATCTCCCCTTATTTAACTTTTCAAGTTATGCAATGAAAAACTTTCTGAAAAGATGATATTAAAAGAATTACCTTTTAACAAAATTTCAAAAACTAAAAAGAATGAAATAATTACCACATAATTACGCATTTGTAGTCGGTGCTAAAACATAGTGTATCAAATAATTAAAAAACAAACAAACTTACTGTATTCATGATGGTAAGTGGCTACTGCTGTCCGTGGACACACACACACACACACACACAGCCAATTTAGTCAGTTTGTTAGTTCTTTGAAGCTGATTGTTTCCTTTTGTTAAAAGTTAAAATTTTGATACTTTTAAATGGACTAAGTTATTATCGCAAGATCAGGGTTCCATTCCATCGATTCATTACAGCCTTTAAAAGTCCACTGCTGAACACGGGCCTCCCCCATAGATTGCCTCATAGTTGACACGCTTGCCTGTCACATTTGGTTGGTAACCGCAGTTTTTTATTATTTTGATGCTGCTGCCCATCTCCTGTTTCGGTTTCTCTCTGTCGCCTCTAACGATACCTACGACGATATGGGGTAGTGGTAGTGTATATTCTTACACCATACACTTCATCCCCTATTTTTCCAACTTTTAAGGAGTAAATTATATTGTTTAATCTAGTATAACTTACACAATATGACTTTATACTGGCACTGTAGTCTA